TGGTGGCAATGCCAACTTATACTTGAGTAACACTTTAATGTACCTAGAAAAGAAGATGGGTAAGTATGACTTACTCTCCATTTCTCCCTCTCTAGTATGGACTGTTAGGAAAATCAATTTAGTGATATTAGTCTAAATGTCATTTATATAAAACTAAAGGAAATGACTAGTTAGGTGTACGTGTCTGTCTAGTCCTAACTGTACTCAAATATTTAACCCAACAAATGAACATTTCTTAAAACAAAGGACCAAAAGCAAATGAAATAGCTATCTGCAGAAATAGAAGAGTAAGGCTCTTGTTCATGAAATACAAGCTCCCCCTCATGGTCAGTCCATAATGCATCATTCATCCACAAAACCAAAATCTGCAAGTCCTGTGGGTAAAAAACAGGATTCATTTACTCAGTTTTATCAGTTTCTAGCAGAATTTAGAATATAATTATCAAAATGAAAATCAAAGCCAGACAATTTATCACCTTTTCCAAACTCACTTAGTACTTCAAATATTCTGTAGTGTAGCAAAGCACAAGAAATGAAGAGCTTTTTAAAACTCACCATGAGTGTATATGTTGCTTTTAGCTCAGGAATTTCTAACATGACTTGGAGAAAGAAGGATTAAAATACTCCTCAAACTTCTGTCCTAACAGTTTAGTACTATTCCTGGAAGATAATTATATGACGCTAATGTCTTTTAATGGATTATTGGGAAATAACTAGCAAACCACAATAAACAGAAGATCCCTGTTAGATCTGCTTTCCTGAAATTGTCTCTGCAAACTTTCATTTACATTAGCAGATACTCACCATTATAATCCTGTACTACATTCAGATATTACTGATATCAAACAAATTTCCATATAATTTATGGAACTAAATGGACTTTTACAAGAACTTATTTTAACCTCAAGTATTTTCTATTGCTATATTATCAATATTTCTCTTTCAATGTTCATGTAGAACACAAACTAACACATGAAGTCAAAATTTACCTCAGAGCATAGCAGAAAATGAACATAATCTTGAAGCATAATAATTCTGTGATAAGCTAAACTTAGGTCTTGCAAAAAATCAAACCAGCTGCAGAAGTGATCTCTCTTTACTACTGCATGGACAACAACAAAATGATTAACATCCTGCAGGCAATACTGTATATTTTTCTTCTTTCTGCCAGCTTCAGTTTTAAAATCGAAGTTTCCTAGGGACACAAGGGTCACAGGCAAGCTGCACTAGGAGCCAGCATAAACTTGTGACAATTAATTTCCGTCAAACATATATAACCTCACAGCAGTATATATGAAGATCTGACAGCAATCTTCAGAGATCCTCACAATAGCAGCCCACCAGAAAAGAGTTTCCAATATTTTCTCTAGCAGCTTTCGCTCTCAAATTGTGTATTCAGGATACTATCCACAGAGAAGAAATACTAGGCATAATTTTGACATACAGCCTGTTTGGAATTAATATATGAAATGTATCACAGAAAATAATGTCACATTTCTCCTAATATGATGCTAATCGTATGATGATTAGAAGGTACATTTATTGTGTCAAGCACAGCCCAGAAAGTACTACATGGTCTTCTCCCCAGAATTCAACACTTTCAGTAGGAGTTTTGGCCCTTAGCTGAATGACTGCTAATGTTTTGCAAAAATTGCATGCAAATTAAACTGTGTTAGAATTAACTCTATAAGTGTACTCTTACGTTAAAGGAATTATATATGTGATACACTTGGGGGAGGGGGGGAATCCTAACAACTCCTACCTCATCAGTTTTGAAGTGTTCACATGGATTCTTTTGTTTAATATTATTTCATACTGCAAACTGCACTGCCCTGAAGGACATCTATATAATAAAAAATTATCTATTTTTATCAGGTTACTTAGATTATTTGTAATTAAATATAATAAAGACATATGTAGAAACTATACAGCGTATTCATTTTCTTCCTATTCATATCTGGCCCCTCCACTAATTTAATATGTAACTAAGACAGTGTTTGAAACACACTTGTATAATCTTAGTGTTACATAATTACAGACCTAAAAATCTTTTTTTCTGGCACAAGCACCAACACAAACAGTTTGCTTTCCTGAATTACAGGTTACCTGTTATGAAATAATATTAGCTTTTCCATGAAGGCAGATAAAAGATGCTCTGAAATCAGCAGCAGTTCAGAAGTTATGATTATGACAGTCACTAAGAAATGTTAAGATAGCATACCCTGAAGTCATACCCATTAACCATTTTCAATCATTTTACCATTTTCTTCTGGTAATGTTCAGCTCCCTACCCTGTTTCAGAACTAAATCCAGATGAAACCAACATCACTAAGTCTAGAGACTGAACAACAGGCCTAAGGCAAAGAAACAATCCACTGGGTTGGCAAAAGTAAGCACTTAAATAAGAAACATTTTTACTAAACAGCAGTGTTAGGTGAAAATAATAATATACAGCTGGACTTCTAATGTAAGCAAAGAATGCTCAGCAGTTATGCTTTACAAAGAAAACAGAGGTTTGCTTGTTTGCTAAATTTGACTGCACTATGAGTTTCTCTACTAGGAAGGACTGTCAAACTAAAAAACAAAGGTCAAAATCTAATCACATCTTTACTTGTCTAATTCTGATTAAAATCTGGTTCACTAATCTAAAATGTGTAGAAAAATCACTCATACTCCTTTTTTTCCTGTAGTTAAAAAATATTTGGCTCTCCATGTCTAGCAACTTAAATTATTTTGGAGTTCTTAACTATAATCTCAAAATCAAAAGTTACTGTCACTAACAAAAACCATCTCCTTTCACAAGAGGTATTGAAAGGGTTTATGGATTATCTCACTGTTTATAAAAAAGCATACATATTCTGTCACCTTTAAAAGAAATCTAAAGACAAATTCAAAGACAAGGATGAGGAAGAATATTTTCCAAAGGACTGAAGAAATTGGTAGATTCAATCTCTGATATAATTATGGGATCATTCAACAACTGAAGCATCTCTGAAACTCTAAGAACTGTTCAATTTCTACCACACTGAATATTAGAAATACTTCTTTATCGGATGCCACTTAAAATAATAGAGCATGGCCCAATAACAGCATAGCAATTTGGTAAACTGAAAAGCTCACAGTCTTCTATTCAATCTTTCTTGAAAATGTCAGATAAAAAGTACTAAACATTTTCTAAAGGCACTTCAGAAAGACTTTTTCCATTTTTTCTCTGTATGGGATTGCAAAGAGGTAGCGTGATAGCAGCAGTCTTTGCCACTCTGCAAAATGTCCTATATGGGTTTATTGCACTATTAAAAAATGGTGTGACCTCACATTCCTCAGAGCACAAAAGATAATTCATCAATACTGAAAAACTCTTTTAAAGTGTCTTTCCAAGGAATAGTTGGAATTGCCGGGATAGTTTTAAAGGACACCAGTGAATTACAGACAGTACTGTTCTCTGAGAATTTTTATTTAATATCTGTAAACAACATAGTTTAAGTATAGACTCATAGATAAAAAATTCCACTCTACCTTGTTTTGGTGTAGGTACTGACTACTGTTTCTCAGCTAATATTTACCCTCTTTTTAATTTATATATTCCTACTGACTTGAACTGTATCTTTGGATGCATTTTATCTGATTGGCAAAGACAGTGGCCTTAGCTCCATTGTTAAGACAGAACTGAGAGTTTTGCTCTTGAAGTGAACATGTGGGGGCACACACAAAGTAGCACGTACCTGCCACATCTTTCAGTAACTTCCTAATTGCTAAAGGAAGGCAATTAACTTTGAACAACCCACAGATTGGTTCCACTGCTGCACCAAAAACAATCTCAGGCTAAAGCAGCATGGTATTCAACTCCATTACTCTGACAGACGAGACATGTCCTTCTCTCAAATTCCCCTTATCCTCCAGGGGTGCAGAGAAAGTCCAGGTTTTCCTTTATACATATATAGAAGCCTACATATAAAGTACATATACATACCTATACATATATATGCGTGTGTGTATATATATACACTTATACATGTGGGAGTGGTAAATTACAGTTAGTTCACTGAGATTTAAGAATGATAACGTACTACAGGAAACACAAAACTTAAGACTCCCCAGACCATAGAAGAGGAAAGAACGTCAGTGTCTCTCAGTGCTTTACTCAGCATAAACACAAAGGAGAAGACTATGTAACTTTGCAAGTCAAGGAAGATGCATCAAAGATACACTTCTTAAAGTCACTAAGTATGAATATACAAATTGAAAGGGGTATAAATATCAGCTAAGAAACAGCAGACAGTACTTGAACCAAAGCAAGGTAGAACGGGGTCTTTGTATCTGTCTGCAAATCTGTGCTACATTTTTTACATCTACTAAATAAAAAGATATCAGAGAACAGTACTGTCGGTAAATCATTAATATCCTTTTGAACTATGCTGGGAAATTCATTATGTACCCTTTGCAGTTGTTAAAGTTATATTAATGTTGACTAAATTAGAAACAACTTATCTTTGTGCTCCATTCTCATCCAGGTTGTCAAAAAATTTTTAAAGCACTTAAACTAGATTGACAAGTGATACCTGCTATTTCCGTAAGTTTTGTTGTATGATCGTTTTCTGGCAACTTCACAAATCCAACTTCATTTCTGAAGTGATCAATTCCTTGAAAAGACAAATCCACTTTTTTTCCTTTCAGGAGATCTTCTACAAAATCCTTGCTGTCTGCAAGAGCACCAACTGCTCTGCCAAGAAGAAAGAAAATATCTATGTGAAAGTCAAATATATTAATACTATTTACATTGCTATAAATCATTATATCCAAAAATCTCACAAAGTTTTATTACTATCAATTTATTATCTACTCAGGTACTTTTGCACTACTTCCTATCAATGGAGTCAGTAATTTATAAAGGTAAACTGGTTCATACACCCTGCTGTAAAACCACAGAAATAATTAGGCAGACTTAGAAGCAGGTGTAACTCCTCAAAAGAGCTTATCTCAGCCCTCAAGATCATAGGGTCTCTATTATTCTGTGCATCCCATTTAATAAGATGCTTATTCAGAAGTATTTTGGTTTTGATTCTTAATTTTTTTCATCTCCTGATAGCTCAACTGAACACTCTAAAATTCTACTTCATTCAAAGTTGCTACAGTGTTACTTAATATTATAAACATAGGTTAGTGACATTATATATATTTTAAAAATGATAAAACTACAAGGAAATTACTATTAAGCTCATTAATAACTGTTATTAAAAGAAATACTATCTAAACTGATTAGTACTTTCTTTAAGAGATAAGTAGCACACACACACTACATGTAAGAAACAGGAGCAAGCCTGGCAACCTTTCAATAATCATCTTAATTAGCCACTTTAAGTGTATGTACGATTACATGAAGTATTTGTGTTGACCTGCACTTGAAGTGATTCACGTGCTAAACAGAAACTATATAAATATTCTTAGTGTCTTCTAAAAGATCTCTCACCTGCTCACAGTTTTTAACTCTATTCAGCAAAACTGAATTTGAACTTTTCACTAAACCGATGTTGACTTCACAAACGCTAGATGGCAGTAACAGGCTAAAAACTCTCAAGAGAACAGTTTATTCTACTTTTTCTGTCCTAGCTGGATGCAAGCCATCACCATGATTTTTAAAGTAGGCTAAATTATATTCTTTAAACCTGTAAAATTACAAACAACTTTACATATGTTTCCACTGTGTTTAACAAGATGGCCTCTTGATGAGAGCTATGCATTTAATTGAAACCTATGCCAGGTTAAGAAAGATGTTAGAGTTGATTACATGACAAAATATCCTTGACTGATATAGTCCTGTGTTTTTTCTATAAGGCTTTAACCTACAGCCTCGAAGTACTTTAGCTACTATATAACCACTTTAAGCAACAATGCCATTACTTGTTCCTTGGCAAAGATATTTTTCTTTGAACACAGTCTCTGCCACTAACCTACCCTTCTATCACCATTAGACAAACCTGTTGCTGTGTCTTCTGTATGTGCTATACTTCAGATGGCCTTTTGGAAAGCTCTTAATACTCATTATATCTGTCATATTACTTCAGAGGTAATCATGTATAGATTTATTTAAAGACATGAACCTAAAAATTGTTCCAAAACAAGTACAGATATTTCAAATACAGTGTCAAAGATTGCAGTGAGCTTTCAAATGGTAAATTACACACATACCTAAACCCCATCTCTGTATTTTTTTCATCTGAGAAGTGGTACATAAAGAGTCATGGAAAGCTCTGTTTCCCAGCTGAACAAAGATTTATATTTCCATACTGTAGAGTACGCTGCAGAACTCACTGACCAGCTCAACACTACCTGATGAGTTTATGAAGTCTATGAAAGGTCAATTCAAACAGTGCAGTATGTTTTCAGTTTATCACTGTGTGAGTGAAGATTTAGTTCCATTTTTTCTTTTTTATACAATCTTATAAACACTAAAATATTTAGAAATATATCTGTCATCTCACTCTAGCATATTTGTATTTCTGTATTCAATCATTCACTTTATAACATCTAACATTGCTTTGTAAGAATAATGCACAAGGACAAACATTTCCGCTGAAGTCAATAGCAAAAAACAGAACGGTGGTATTTTCTTGTTATTCCATACCAAATAGTATTTACGATGCCAAATGTAGTTACACTCAGTGTAATTAACCCACAGGGATAAGAAAAAGTTTACAAGTATTTTACTCCAAAGTGGAGAAAGGAAGTAAAAAAGAATTAAGCAGCATATTCTAGTGAATACAAACTAGGATTATAGAAGCAGTGCCTGGTTTTTTCTGTTGTTGTTGTAATGTAAATATTATAAGCATTTAAAACTGATGTAGTTTCTTTTTAGAAGTTTCTTACTTGTTAATTTTGATTCCTTGTTAGAAAAAGCAAACTTGCAAAAAAAAGCCAAAGCCAAACAATGCTTTCAGCTCTCATATTTATAATGAAAAGGTTAGATTCACGGAACTTTTGACATATAACAAGCAAGAACAACTTGACACTACAGTCTGGTAATGAAGGTGTCAAGGCAGGCATCCTGATTTGTAACACCTGATCCTATGACTATGCAATACAGTTAACACGGACTAGAAGTCCTTTGCTGGAAGGGAGTGCTGTCATGGCTCTTGCTTGCTTGCTTTTATGGTTTTTTAAATCTCACATTCTTGATTTCATCTAGTCCTACAAAAAGGGATGTGAAGTGCATTCATGAAGGCTAGACCACAGCCAATCAGTTAGGAAACTTGCATGGGAATTGCAGGTCTGGATTCCCTTAAAAAGAGTGGCCTAGAATACAGATCTTCCATTTTCAGGGTGAAAGCTGTATGTACTAAAATACCACACAAAGGGCTTTGTGCTGAATTGAATGTTATGTTTAGCACATTCTTATCACGCGTTTTGACTTCAAATAGCGTTCAACACATTTCATTTCTGTATAGACAGAGGCACTATTGTGCAAACACAGTAGAAAAACTGTAGATATCTAAGTAACTTAATGGATCCAAACCTAAGGATCTGTGAACTCTAAGATGCCCAGTTGACTAGCTACACTTTGTTTGAGGGATTACTCTCATCCTATGTTACATACAAGTTCTTTTGCCAGCCTGGATTTTGGTTTCTTTCTATTAACTTGGTATCAAAAGTTGGTGAAGCAAAGAAAGGAAAATTCAACTTCTCACTCTTCAAGTTCTCCCAAAAGATTAAACAAAAAACATCCATTATGAATAAAAAAAAATCCCATATAATAGAAAATGTAATCTAGAATACCTGAGGATAGCTGAGCTAGATACCTGTAGGAGGCATCTGGCCAGGGAAAGGGTGAATCACTGGGGAAGCTGCTGCTGACTAGAGGACAGCTCCTGCGTGCCTGGACTGTGGAGTTCTGCTGGGAGAGGCAGAGAAGAACTCCGTAAGTAAGTGTTTGGGTGGCAGTCGGACAGTGAGAGCTGAGAAGGAGCTCAACAAGTAGCAGAAGATACTGAAATTGAGAATATTTGTTTTGATATATAGTTTAGGACTCTAAAAAATATTCATGAGGTGGCATACTTGGCTTTGAGATATCTTCTCACATCCCCTTTTTAAAAAGTTCATACTTCAAACACTTTTAAAAAAGATATTGCATACACAGTTGGTGGTTGTTCTCACCAATTTTCAGGTGCTACCAGTTTGCTCATCAACCAGAGCAGGACAAAGCTGGTGTGCCTGATACAGGAGACAAAAGGTATGTGGAAAGGAGAGGGAATCCAGCAGATCTAGTATCCTTTGCTTTCCTTTCTATTCTGTTCCCCACTATCTGTTTCTCTCCTCACAGGAGAGGTAAGAGTGTAGAGGCCTCAAGAATACAGCATCCAAGGAAACAAGTGTGAAAAACATGCAGGGCAATTGATTTAGATATACTGTTATCTCATTATTTTTAGGTGTGTTAAATATTTTTATTCAAAATACTTCTATTTACTAGAAGCATGCACTTGACTACCAAATGGTTCCTACTTTCTATCTTGGATTCTCGCTTTCTTGTGAGCAATTTGCACTTTAACAGACAAACCTTCTGGGGAAAAAAAAAAATATTCAACACACACTTATTAGACACATTATTTTGTAACTGTATTACCATAACCAAAGCAACGTCTCACTGCACTTACTCATTATTTGATCTAGATAAATAAGTACATGTACCACGTGCCTGCTAACAATGTAGAGAAAACCAGTAAGATAGATATGGATATACACGTATGACAGAAGGCCCCTGAAAGAATTCATCGTGGGGAGATGAAACCATGAGGCTTCTCCTTCACAGAACTGTACGGATCTCGTGAATTTTGATTCATTAGCAATCCACTACAAAATTGACACACAAGCAATGGAGGATTCCCAGATGTTCACTATAAGGCCAGTAGACTGTTTATCAGCATTTTACGTAATGCTCTGTTACAGTTTCCAAAGTGTTTGCAATCTCAATTCTGCAATTATAATGTGCAAATATAGACACATCACATATGCAGGTCATCACGCACCACATCTAAATAGAAACTGTCAGTCTGTGTAAAGGAGGACTATAAAATACAATATATGTTTCCATTTTGAGTCAGAATTACAACTAGATGCAGAATTATTCTGAACATTCATAAATTAGAGCTGTACAGACTTAAAAGTCTGAACATCTTCATATTAGCCATTGAACTTGTACGTCAGAGTAGGCTTGTCAGGTAACAGCACAGCATATGATAAACAGTAAAAAAAACACTGAAGAACTGCGTTTTTAAAAAGCAAATAGTCACATCTAACACTTAGATACATGACATTATATAATATATATGCCTTTCCGCATTTTTTCTATATTTTATATGATCAAAAAAAATCAGCTATATCACTGAAGCAATATAAAAATTATACTTTTGATAATGCCTAACAGACATCTCTCTTTAAGTGCTCTTGAATTTCGAGCATAATAAATTCATTTAGGGACATAAAAAACCCAAACTATAACTGCATATGCATTAGCTTGGAGCTAAAGTTTATTTCATTAAAATCTTTCAGGGACGATTACTGATTTGCCTTATAACATTTGCTAAACTACGAAATTCTGAAAATTCCCCTGTTAACCTGTCCAGCATCCCCTATATCAAAACAATGCTTTAAAATAACTATTTTAGCAAAACATGAGATTTGTGCATGCAAGTTCAGCACACAGTAAGACACATGCAAGGGAAAAAAAGCCTATTTTGTTCAGAGCTCATGACATACCATGTTACAAAAATGGCTAATATTAAGATTAGCATTTTAAGAACAACATGAATTATATGTTCAGTAACTCTAGTAATGTAGGGCTGTGTATTGCAAAAAATAACCATCAGTTACCCCTTCCTGTCTTTTTTATTAACTCCTCCAGCAAAAACACTTGTATATACTTAAATTAACACCAAATACCTACATGCTAATTTCTTCTTCATTGGATAAATGCATCACTAACATGGTGACATGCAATGAGCCAGAGCGAACCATTGCTTT